TGCAACTAAATCAGGCTTAAATGTGCTTAACAATTTTGAACAATAACATGAAACCACAAGTGCAAAAATACCAGAAAGGCACTCCAGACGCCTTTAACGAGCCTGCATAGCCTACACGCTTCAGACAGTCGGCCCCTGGGCCGGAGACCGGTTGTCCTGTTCCCGGGCTCCAGTCTGGGTTGATTCTGGCCATATGTCAGGGTCGAGAAATATAACGCACACAAAAGTGCTCATTACGACGGACGTTGGCAAAAAAGGTTTCGTGGAAATAAATTTGCACCTTAACGCCTTTAAATGCGCAAGGCATACCCAGCCACACACACACACACACACACTCGCACAAAGGTGTAGAACATGGTGTTGCCAATTACCCGGAAGTATGCGAAAAGCTTATGCGATAAATTCAACAAAGTGCCAAAAAGGTATGCATCGAGTGGAGCAGCTACCAGTTCCGTATGCCGGCCACCCTTGCTCCAATCCGAAAGGAATAAAATGAAAATAAACCGTGCGAACCCGCAAAAGTCTAAGGATTTTCAAGGTGCGCAGACAAAAACCAAAAAATATTCCAACATTCAACTGAATGCTGGTCGTCTGGGCTGCTCCCACTGCTCCTGCTGCTGCTGCTGCTGCTGCTGCTGCTCTATGGCTTCCAAGTCGGTATGGCATCTTTGTTGGCGTCCCACACATCTCCCGCCACGTAGCCAACACCTGCGTCCAGCAGCCGCCATTGAAATGGAAAGGGCCAAACACAACACGTGCTCAGGCTAGGTGTGTCCGTGTGTGTTTGAGTTTGTGTGTGTGTGTGTGTGTGGTTGTGCACATTTACGGCTGCCATATTGAAGGTTGAGTTTTGAGCAGGAGCTTTAATAAAAATATTATGTGTTGCGAACGGCTGCAGCTGCTGTTGCTTGTGCTCTTTACCTCAATCGTGGGGCCTATAGTTTAGGCCAAAGCCCAAGCTCGATTGCAACTTAAAGGGGATTTTATTTCAAAATTTACAATCTACTGCGGCCGCGCTCTCGTTATATTTGGCTGGCGTTATGGCACGCCCATAAAATATTAGCCATGGCATATGCCATGTGTATGGCCACTTTGCCACTTTCGCTGCCTGTTTTGGATGAACCAAAGCGTGAAATATATTTATAATGCGGTACAGCTAAAATGGAGGGGCATATTAGTGGTGGGCAACCCGATTGAAGAGTTGGCAAGCCCTACGATCAAAGAGTATCAAGATGAGAGAAGAGAAGACAATTTGGAGTTAGGGGTGTAGAGAGAAGAAGTTTGCTTGAGAATCATTCTCTCGAAACACTTTTTGTTATTTTAATCCTTTTTTTAAGATAAAGATTTTTCCCTTGCAAACATTTTCAAAATAAACAATAATGCTTGAAAATCTTTTAAGATCGGAACCGGGACGAGATCCAAATATACTTTAATAGCTGTTACTTGTTTGCTAAACTTCGCGATTAGCAAGCCTACGACTACTTTCTTTCTCCTACATTTAATAGTATAAAAATACGTTATAAATAAATTAATCTCGCTTCGCTTTGCCTAAAATTCATTTGCAATCATTTTTCTAAATGTTTTTTTTGTATCTAAGAATATGTCTCATTTTTTCTAGTATGTCTTATTCATATGCCTTCATCTATCCAATGTACTTGTACTTCCATTTTCGCTTTTCACTATCATATTTAAGACCATGTGCTTGAACACCTCTCAACATGATAATACCAACCAACCAATACCAACAAAATAACTTGTTTTCATTTGGCGAGCAGCAACAACAACAACAACAGCAACAAATATAATGAAAATCCCACTTGAAGCCTGTTTGGGTTTCAGCCCCTTTGTTGCCACTTGTGCAGCGCTTTATAGCGCTTTACCTTTTCTTTTATAATGTTTAGTTTACACTAAGCCAACCGCCCCCCAAAGCAGTGGCCCAAGACAATACAGCCCTTAGTTGCGTGGGGGTAGCCTTAATTTATAATCGTAATATTGCGCATACGCCGCGTATAAGGGCGAACGCGCGTGTAAACAGCTCTGGCGGCTTATTATGTATTTTGATAGTCTTTTCGTGTCGCTTGTTGGATTTGTGCTTTCTGCTTTTAATTGTGAACATTTCATTTAAGCCACACACACGCACACCCACACACGCACACGCACACACACATATGCAACGAACGCTTTGTGGCACAGCGTCGAATATTCATTTATCAAAAACGTTGCCCGCATTTCGGCGCTTTGTGCCCGGCTGGCGCCATCAGTAGCAGCATGTCAGGAACTTAGCTGAAGTCCCAATCTAAATCGTTATGTGCAGCAAGCCCCCAGCCCAGCCCAACCCACCCCCCTCCCATGCCAACCCTCGGGCTAAAGCAAGCCATGACGTTTGCGTATGTCAAAGTTATCTAAATGAAAAATTGACTTTCATACACTCGCTGTGTGTGTTGTCTGTGTGTTGTGTGTGTGTTGTGTGTGGCTGGGAATCAGCGAACGTTGAGTTCAGTTTCCGTTGCGTAGCATTTCGCATTTACGCATTTCCTATTTTAGATGATATTTCATACTTTTCTGCTGACAGCGGCAACAAACCAACCGCTGATGATGATGCGCGTTTATTATTGTTGCTTTATGGCTTTTGCATACTTATATGCATAGTCTGATTCCCAGACGAACGAACTAACCCACCCCGACCCCAACCCCCAGCCACTTGTCCCTCCTTGTGTGAGTGTGTGCTTGCCTTTGGGATTATCAACTCATTGTGCATTTGCTTATGCTGTGTGTTGTGCCGCCTTACCCCGCCAATTCCCTACTGCTGCTTTCATTTGCTGACTTCGTCTGTCTGTCGTTCTGTCTGTCGCTTATCCATTCATCCATTTACCCATTTGGCAGTATGTCAGTCGTTGTCTGCGCTGTGCACACAGTTCAAAGCTTTAAACTGTTTGCTTTCAACTTAATTGCAGCTATTGGCTTAATAAGATCCATTAACCATATTCCTAGGCAACTTAATAAGCTTTGTTAATACACTCAGATACAATCGATAAATGAAATAAGTAGTAATCTGTCACTATCCGGCTTTGCCCAGCCTTATCTCGTAGTTTCGCATGGAAAGAGAAGTCGACTTTCTGCAATCTCTTATCTCATTTTATATAGATGAGAATAACAAAAATTCCAATCAAGAGTTGTCCTCCCAGTTTCCAAACAAATTTTAAATTAAATTCCATTTTAAAAATCACCCTCCAACCCTCAAGTAATTGAACTTAATAACTCAGCTCAAATAAATGATAAATGTGCTTATTACTGTTATCCGGAAATCGCATCTGGCGGCCATTTAAAATCTAACGGCGCCTACGTGTCTATTGTGTGCAGCTAGTTGTCTTGCTCTAACGCATGGCATGCATGAGTTTTTAAAAGTCAGCCTAAAATTATGCTGCAAAATTTGTTGCAACATCAATCAACTGGCTGATACGCCAACAAAGGGCCCAAAAGGCCAGAAACAATTGGCCTGCAAGGGCGCAAAGGGCCATAAAAGCCAGGACATGAGGCGCCAATAAATTGTATATAAATTTTGTGCTCAAGGAACAACAGAAAAAATTGCCAAATAAAATAAATTGAAAAACATTTAGCTGTAGCGGCCATCAATAAGCGCTGACAAAGACGCGACTGCCAACAGCTGAGACCAGGCGAGGAAAAAACAAGAAAAACGTTTCGCCCGCAAAGTTCATGACATTACGGGGAACTAATGTTGATATTGGCTCGACCCGAACCGACCCGACAAAGCCAAGGGCCAAAAACTCGCAACACAAACAGACATAGAATATAAAAAAATAATAACCAACAAAAACAACAACAGCAAGGAATCATTTTAGCTAGCTGCATTTCTGGCAACAGTTCCAATTCGTGTCATATGCTGTCTTGGCAGCGGCTGCACATTTCGTTTTGCTGTCTTCTGCTCGTTTTTTTTTTTATGCCACTTTAAATTAGAGCACATTTCTATGATTGCCTTTTGCGACGGGCCATAAACGACGTCAGGCGCCACTCAGTTCGATAGTTTTGTTTTTGGCTGTCGACTCGGCAAAATGCCAGTCGAACAATCGGCCAACACCAGCGACAGCTGCGACGCCTCATAAGGGCCTTGTTGTGCCCACTTTTGCTGTTTGGCCTATTTTCCTGGGCAACAAATGTCAGTCATTCAAAATGTGACTGGGCTAAACTTTCAGCTGAGACCAAGCCACACAAGTGTCTTTTATGTTTGTTAACCCTTTCAATGAAATATGAAAGTGATTAGAGCCAATTCGAGTGCTCGAGACAACAGTTTTAGTTGGCATAGCTTGAGGTAGGCTGATTAAGTAGGGTTTTCATATACCCAATGATCATTACATAAACACACACATGGGGTCATGAAACTGTGCAAATGTGTGGGAAGGCAGCAGCAGGCAGGAAGGAAGGATACTATCAAGTACATACATTTAATCTATGCCACATTTTATCTATGACTTCTTCCTGATATATATCTGCTCTCTGTAGCGACTTATAGCGCCTCCAACCTGACCCCTTAACCTAATCCTAACAGTAGACACACAATCTATTTGATTAAGCCAAACAATATCAAAGAACTGGTGCTGGCTCATCAAGCGCTACTCCCTCAATCCCACTCAATCACAGATCTAAGACATTTCATTTATTCATTTATTGAACATCAATCTCTCATCCTGCAGACAAGCGATTTGCCACAGTCGGCAGCAACACACAAAATGCATTCGCATATGCAACAGTTACACATTCACACACCCCCTTTCCTCTCTCGCGCTCACCTCTCTCTAGGGTGAACTAACGCCGCGTAACCCATTTGCCTTGTTGGTTCGATAAACTCGTCATGGAGCTGGCTGACAACACGGCGCCAATAGCAACAACAACAACAACAACAACAACAGCAAGAGCAGCATGTGAGAAGCAACATTTCCACGGGGCAGTGCATTGGCAAATGCCCAACGGTAAGGAAGCAATCTCTAACTTAATACGGAAAACTTGTAAACGGTAAAGCGAAGCGAAATGGAAAAACTGAAAGCCAAACAGCAGACAGAGGCCAACAGCAATGGCAATACGAAACCCAATCCCAATCCCTTCAAGCGACCGATGAATGCGCTGCAGAAGCAATGGTATCGTGTGCTACTTGCCAGGCGTGTGGGCTTCGGCCAGAAGCCGACGCAGGATGAGAAGGAGCCAACCTAGTAAGTAGCGCCGCCAGGCGCCTCTGCCAGATCGAATCAAATTGTGTGAAAATTGCAATTTCCTGTTGATTTAATACATTTTACAATTTCTGAAAACCCCTTAACCCCCCCCGCCCATCGGCCCACAGCGCTGACATATGCCATAGACGCTATATGGCCGCATTCCGGCGCTATAACGAGCGTTTCCGCTGGGAAATGGCAATGCATGAGCAGATGCAGCGCTGCGCCATCGACGCAATGCGCGTTCACAGGTGAGAAAGACAGAACAAACAAAAAACATAGTCAATTAGCCTCTTCCAATTGGAGTTTTTACACATTTTGACAGTTCAAATTGACATGCAGTTAAATTGCCATATGTTTTCCCAAGCTCCTGTCCATGAACTGTGAAAATTGTCTAACTGAGTGGCAGCGCCATGACTGCAGTTCATTACGAGATGGCCACACTTAACATCTAACTTCATGTCAGCTATTTTACAATAAGATAAACGCCTCACAGCAGTTGGCTGAGAAGCAAAACAGACAGTAAGTCTAGTAGCAACGCCATGTCAGACAATAAAAGTGCTGGCCAGTCAGCACATGACAAATATTTAACAGCTAGATAAACCGAATCTTTAAATAAAGCTGAAAGTAATGAGCGTTTGCTTGTGAGAATAGAAGCCAATTATAGTCTCCTCTGATTCAAATTGTACCATATTTTGAGAAGCAGTTAAATTGCAGTACGTTTTATAAACATATTTTAAAATAGTGGCAACGCCATGTCAAATGTTGCAATTCATTGCGAAATGGCAACACTACAGCTCAATCTACTTGTCAAATATTTAACACTTAGTTAAGCTAACGCTCAAAATTAGACAAAACACGTTAAACTGGTTGTTATCTTTTGACAGCGACCTGTTCAAAAGCACCTTTTACACGCATTTCGTTTTAGAACATTCTCCATCACAACGCTCTGGCTGCCATTGCACTCGAAACGGGAAATCAACTCAACATTGGAAACACTGGAGAAGGTTTTGACAGTCCAGGAAAGGCGACGCCTCGAGGAGATACTCAAACGCGGCGAATCGCTGCGCACGCGACGCCTTTAGTAGATCTAATGACTCCGCTCCGCAGTCGTGACTGGCAGCATGAGTAAAGCAGCGAAAAGCACTTTCAAGTGCAGCACTTACCCGAACGACTGTCTCCATCCGCAGCCCCCCTTTCTTTCGACTTGAATTTCACTTTGCAGTCAGCGAGGAGCTGTGCAAACTGCTTTTCCCGCTGATGCTCTGTCGTAAATATTTAATACAAATAAAAAGTACGACTTTCACTTCATTTAAGGCACAAACCATGTTCGGCATTCACAATTATTTGCTCGGGGGATCAGCTGCACTTTCTCGAATATGCCGCAGTTATGCTAAGTAGTTACTTAAGCGACGGACAGTGTTGGGCAACGCTGTCTAAATAACCAGCTAATCCATACAAGCAGACGAAAAGTTATTTAGGTTCATCCTGAATTCTATAAACTGTTATCGAAAGTCAAGCAACTTTGAATGATTTCCAGTTTGAAATATTGTTTTTTTTTTAATGTTAGGTTAGTTTCTTGGAGAGGTACAGAAAATTATTAAATGTTGCTTCTAACAGTAGGTTAAAAATTTTTTTTTGTTAAAAGCTATGCGGAGCAAAGGCTTATTAATACATTTATGACATTTATGGATAGCTTGAACCTAACCAAACTTTTGAAGGTAAAGTATGTACTTGTTGATTTGGACTGCGTTAGGATCGGTTAGGGAAGGTTATCGTTAAATGACAAGTAACCACGGAACAACTCACAAGGATCTTTAGGGTCCATAGTAATACCTTAGTGAAACCCCGCTTCCACGAAATAAATATGTGACATTTGTGGCTATATCAAATTCAACCGTGTAACGTAAGTATTCGTGGATTATGATTGCGTTAGGATTGGTTAGGGAAGGTAATAATAAATAACAAATACCCAACGAAAAAGACACTTGGAGATTTGAGGCTTATAGTAATACCTTAGTAAAAATCCCGCTGGCACAAACTGGCAAGTACCCAGTAATAAGTAAGTAATAACTTAGCGAATCCCCGCTTACATGAAAGTTCCATAACAATCTGTTGCTTATGACTTGAAAGGGCATGCAAAGAATTATAAGTTTCACAACACTTCCTTATAATTTCTATCTAGCTTGCAGAATATATTATATTAGAAAAAAAGACTTTCCTTTAAAAACTGATAACAAACACAAAATGTGTTTTCCTAGATATCAAGCCCATTCGTAGTCAGTTGCTAACTATAAATATTTGTTTACAGGGCTTATGCAAATCTTGTTAACGATACACCCCGCCCTTTTAAAGCCCATTAAGATGATACATATGCGTCTTATGTATGTATAAAATATGTTGACCGGCTATTCAAAAGCCCAGCATGATGAATCCCAAACCGAAAAGCACAAGTTTAATGGCAAAATGTGAAAAATGTGCACAAATTAGGGGCTGTCATAGCTGGCATATCTGCACATTATTAACTGCCACGCCCACAGCTGCAGCGCACCCAACAAAAAGAAAAAAAATAATAATAATAATAAAAAATAAAAATGAAACTAAATCCAGGCACCGCAAGCAGAAGTCCGCCTAGATACGACCGTGCCAATACATCATAGTACACACACGGCAAGCGCAGAGTCAAGAGGGGGTGGGCTGTCCGGGTTGCCGGGGGGTGGGTGCAGGGGTTGTGAAAAACATCTATTCATAATGCGCACAGCTCTGACAGCGGCTGAGAAAGTAGTTTCCATTTCCGCAGCGCAGGCGAACAGGGAAAGGCAACCCGAAGCAGCAGAAGAAGCAGCAGCACGAGAAAAAAAATTGGATTATATTAATTTGAATTAATAACATATTTTCCGGCAGACTTTTCCTCTGGAATGTTGTTAGCTATGCCAGGCAGCCGGGAGTTTGGGAAAAACACTCGCAATTTGCTTGTTATAATTTGCTTGTCTATGCGCAGTGAGGCGCGCTCTGATTTATAATATGCGTTGGCTAAAGGACTTCCAACTCCTGATCTCTTCCACAGCTCCTGTTTACCAACATCCGCTTGTTGTTGTTGTTGATGTTGTTGTTGTAGCTTCGAGGCATTCGCCTGCTCATTAATGTGCTCTTAATATAGACTTAATTTGCATTGGAATTTTACACAGAACCTGGCAACTGTTTGCAATTTTCGGTTTGCAAGCAATGTACAGTGGTACCTCCATGTAACGAACGTCTCTGAAAAACATCTTGCTTCTAGTTTATCATTTATAAAGCAACAAAAAGTCTTTTTCAATTTAATATTTTCAAGCTATGTACAGTCAAGCTTCATGAAAGTTTTTTTTTTATATCTTTTACCAAAGAACATATCAAATACGGTTTAGACCAGCCCAAACTTATAACAATCCATTCGAGCAAATTTTCATTTTAACGCCCAACAAGTTCATCATATTGAGTGATTACTGTTTATGGAATTTGAAATTTCTGGCATTTAGTACGAATTTCAAGTGTTTAAAGTGCATTGATTTAACCTATGCCAAGTGTAGAGAAAAATGCGCAGCATCAATTTCAACAATGGACCACATGCTAACCCTGGCGCCGGCCCCTGCCCCTGAAAACCCCCGCCCCCTCCATTCCACATCCTTTTTTGGTCAGTTAACAGTGCAACGCAGCGGCAATTTATTGACTGTATTGAGACGGGCTACGTGCCGCACATAAACCGCACTTATCTGGCTGACTGACTAACTGACTGAATGCCTCACTGACACACACACACACACTACTGGCGGCTGCCTTCCGCTAGCTTGCTTGACTGGATGGGATGTGCCTGCGTCCTGGCCTGACCGGAGCGCACTACACATCCTGCCATTGAAAGGCAGCAGCAGCAGCCCAAGTCGAAGAAAAATTGCATGCGGTTGCGAGAGCAGCAGCTAAATTAATGTGTCTGTCCGTGTGCGGTGCACAGCGAAGTGTGCCCGAACCCCTTCAGACTACGCCACTGGCCGCGCTTAGTGCTGCAGCTGCCATAGCCAACCCAACCCCCTCCACTCCCTTCTCCTGATTACCACTCCTCCACTTTTGGCTCAACTCTTAAGCAAATACTAGCAAACGTGCCCGTGGCATGCATATCAAAATGATGTATGCGTGTTAGATATGCTATAAATTTTATTCCTGCTTCGACTTCTGCTTATCTTCTCCTCTACTCTACACCAGCCCCACTCACACACACACACACAAGCACAGCTGCAATCCGTTATTAAACGCTTGACTGATTGACCGTCGTTGGCATTTGATTCTGATTAGAAATGAGCAGCCACAAATTCCAAGTTGATAGAAGTGCGAGTCAGATATCGAAACTGACGCTGGTCTGACCAAAAAAAAAAGTTAACTAAACTAATAATACAACTTAAGAATATGCGTTAAAATATAATAATACTAGCGGGTATACCCCGGCCTTGCCCGTCGAACGTATAAAATAAGTTCTCTCAAAGATCTTTGAAAATTAGTCTGAAACCGATCGGACGGTAAAACACCTATTGATTATATTCTTATGTAGAGCTTTGTAAATATGTTTGAAGCAAATTGGACAAAACTTAAAACTTCACCAAAAAAAGCATTGAATCACACTTTCTACCGAGGAAGCTTTGATTTGCGAAAAATGTGAAACACGTCTCAAATGATTATTCATATAGATCCTTAGAAATGAATTGTCAATGAGGTCAGTTTTATGTATAGAAATATATTTGCAATTGGTACTTACCTGTAAATTCACACGTATTATTTTATTGTCATCTAGCAGTGGGCGGGAGACAGACATTTAAATAAAAAGTAGAGAAAATGTTCATTAGCATATTCAAAAACATACAAATAAATATACCTACATACATATTGAAATAGTTGTTACTCATATTTTAAATATAAAAAGAGATAGTTTTGTTTATAATACATACCAGTTTTTTAATAGCCGCATAGCCTAGCAACCAACTTCTCCAAAATTAAAAACGTCGCTCCTTCATAGTTGCTCATGGTGCCACCTCTTGCGTAGTTTAAACCACCGTTTCCTTCCAATATAAAAGCCGTCGTTTCCTCAATAGTTGAAGCCGCCGCATCCTATATTAAAGCCGTCGTCTGCTCCTTTACGCAAGCTGCCACATACATATATACATACATATATACATATATACATACATACATACATACATACATACATACATACATACATACATACATACATACATACATGCGTACATGCATACATACATACATACATACATACATGCATACATACATACATATACACATACATACATACATACATATACACATACATACATACATACACATACATACATACATACATACATATATATACATACATACATACATACATACATACATACATACATACATACATACATACATATATATACATACATACATACATGCATACATACATACATACATACATACATACATACATACATACATACATACATACATACATACATACATACATACATACATACATACATACATACATACAAACTACAAAAATAAAAGACAAAAAAAGAACACTACACTACTGGCTAAGCATTAAAAACTGCAGAGCCTACTTGTATTCTTGAGAATCAAGGAGAAGAGCACTTGGTTGGTAAAAAACAAATATGCATGCATACATATATTCATAAATACATACATACATGCATACATACACTAACACACACACGCCCACAGACACATACACACATATGTAATACTTACATACCTTCGTACAACAACACTTGTGTAGAATAAATAGATACAAACATATGTACATTAATACAGATATACATACATACATACATATATACACACACAGACACACACATACATACATACAATTGGCTACATATATCGGGTATTTTCTGGCCCTGCCCGTGGCAAGTTGCATGCCTTAAATTTCAGATAAACCTTTTTCCCCCTGTTCCCGCCCGTAATAAATTAAAATCCCCTATTTTAAACTCCTCGAATTAAGTTTACTTTTACAAGGATATTTAAAAAAAAAGATAAATCTATTGAGTTTTGTGTTCGAAATTTCGACCTATGTCGACCTATGTTTATATAGGATAATAGCGGGTGTTCCCCGGCCTTGCCCGTGCCACGTTTAATGTAAATTCTCTCTCTCTTCTATCGTATATGTAAAAGTTCCTAATCAAATTTTAAGAAATTGATCTTGATTTTAAGTTTGCAACACTTTAAATTTAAGTAATTTTCTCCCGTCAAAAGAAAATTTTTGGGAACTTTTAAAAATTCCCAACTCTAGGCTAGTAGCTCAGTCAAAATCTACACCGATTCGACTTTGTTGCAATTTAGCCATCAGCAATATATTAAAGGTTTGTAAATTCACTAAAGTATTTTGAAAATCTCTAGAATTTTAGTTTTAATAAATAAGGAAAGCTGCAATCATAAAAAGGTGCATTTTCTGTTCGGGAACTCAAGATATATGGAGTATATATTTTTTTTTTAATTTTCGGTTTAGGTTTTGGCATTTTCTATCAAATATTCAATTTCCATAAATCAAATTTTTAGTGTAAAAATGATAAAGGAAACATTACTTTGGGAGACGCTGCACACTGTAGAGCAGCTGGAGGTGGCCTTTGAGGAGACACTCCAAACTATAGACGATTTGAACAATCGATATAGGCTAATTGCCACACGAAAGAAATCAGCTGAAAAACGTCAGCGGCTCTATGAGTCGGAGATCCAGGCGGCCATCACAGAGCCCACATATACCAATATCCTAACTTGTCCGATGAGGCGGAAGAAGCGCTCAAAGAAACGAACCGTATACAGAACGCAGACGATTACTCAAAAGTCCAATAAGCAGGCGGAACAGCCCATTTTGTCCCTGCAAGCCAATTGCACATATGAGTTAAACTTAAATGGTTCGAGCTCTGGGATTCATTCCGTTGAGGCGCGCATCCATCAAGACCAAACGGAACCCGCAACAGATGCGAGACCGGCTAGCAATGGGAGTGGCATGTCGGATGCTTCAGAACAAACAGATCCTACGCTCTGTTCCTGCAGCACCCATTGCTGTCCCTATTGCCGTTGCAAAACCTATTATTTTTAATATGTATCTTAAATGTATATTAGCGGTATTCCCTTAAATAAATATTTAACTAAATATCTCAACTGATGCCGTTTGAAAACTAAACCCCGCTTAAATATGATTACAATTTCATACAGAATTTCGAATTTAGTAAAAAGTACTCACAATGGAAAAATTCAAATATTCCTTTTAAGAGTTCAAGATATTATTAAGAGATATTTGCAGCATAAAGGTAAATTAAGTAAATCATAAAAAAAACTAAGATATCTGTAATATCATATAAGACTTCTTAAATAAAATTCGAAAAATAAATAAATATTGGGTTTTTTCTAAAGATTGATATATAAATATATATCATATCAATTCTATTATATTATATCGTAATATGGTATCGTATATTTATTTTGTTTTCTTATTGTCTAAGCTCTGCAATAATGTCCAATAACTTAGCAATAGCATCGATTACAAATCCAACAATGTTCACTACCCTCGTCCAACCCCCCCCCCCCCCCCCCCTCCCCTGAGTTGAACACAATGGGAAAAGCGAAAACCGTTTCGTTATTTACGAGACGCATTTTGTATGGCAACTTAAACGCTAATGGCATAAACATCCGAAACGTGAGCAAAATGTTTAAAATGCCGCCACAAACGAATTGGACAGGATAGCCCAGGACAAACAAAGCCAATGCCGGCAGTTGGGTTAAGGTGCAAGGATCAGCAGCAGCAGCAGAGGCAGCAGGAGCAGAAGCAGCCGCCGTGGCTGTAATGTAGCCCAAAACGCGTTTGCCACAGCCGCACAGCAAATCAAATCTCAAATCATGCACGTTCCGAGTCCGAACCAGAAACGAAACCAACAGAAAGAATAGAAGAAATTGCTTTGTTTTTGGGTTTGCCAAACTTGAAATACCCTGTAACAGAAAGTTACCCAATCTTAACTTTTTGGTTTTCCATCTTCATGGATGGGTTCGATCCGTTAGCTTCTTGCTCAGTTCTACTTAAATTTATTTTAATATTATTTTAAGTCGAGACATCTTAAGATAAAGAAAGTAAAGGTTCTATTCTATGATATAGTAAACCGATTGAGCTGTTTTTTTCTTGCGTTCAAATCTTAACTTATCTAATAAAGATAATCTTTATAGCTAAGAGCCAAGTCTGCCTGTCAAGAAATATATATATATTTCACACATTTCATCAACATAGGTAATATACCCTTTGTTAGGGTATAAGAAAACAGTGCGCACAGAAATTGTAAAGCGCTTGGCCAGCCAACAGGGTGACTCACACTCACCGGGGGGGAAACTCTGGAACTGCAACTGACTTTGCCACTGACTGACGGCAAATTGTTTGAAAATTCAATTCACACATTTGCCAGTTGTCGATGATGATGCCGAGATTCGAGATTTCGGCAACGTTAGCTATGCCCCCGGATCATCATGCAATACCCCCCCCCCCCCCCCCCCGCCCCCTGCCCTACCGCAATCATACAAACTCGGCAAGGTCTCTCGTTTTTAAAATAAGTGGAAAATCGCCACGAATTGTTACAATGTTGGCCAGGCTCAAACGGGGACTGAGAGTGCCAAAGATTCGCAGGGACACAGGGCACAGGACTCGGGGGCACGTGCATTTCGACAACTTTTTAGCTGTCAATGCGTTGGCCCCCAAGTATCGGTTGCAGGCAACGCGACGTTTGTGGCATGTGTTCCGAAATCTAAGGCAGCTTTTGGGTCGTCTATTTTGTATGCAAAGAGCTGCTGTTCGAAATTTAATTTATTTAGACGTTTGTGTTGTTGTTGTTGTCAAGTTTATTGTCTGCAAATGAAATGCGTCTGTGCCCCGGCCTTGGCTTTCCTTTTTAAACGAATTACCATTTGGCGGCTTTGATGTTGCTCGGTTTCTTCTGCATTTGCTGCCCACTTTTCCGAGGTTTTTCTTCTCATCTCCTGGCATTTTTTCATTCCATTTTCTAACTTTTTTCGGTTTGTTCCTGCTTTGATGCAAACTTTGCAGACCATAAAGTTTTGACTTCATGCAGTTTTAATGACTTAACGAGCGCTACGCTGGCCAAGTTCCTTTGACAACTCGCAACCGGCGACTGGCAACAACTGCCAACTGCTGGCAACGGCAGCTAATTAGGCAAACGCGTTCCGATTACCACACAATTTGCACTTTTCCTTTCAGGCCAAGGCAAAACTTAGCCCGTTGATTAAACAGAGAAAACATTTGCTATTCTTTTTTTGTGAAACACAGTTGGGCCTATTACTTAATACCTAAACTGCAGCAACTGTCAGGATGTTTACAAGAGGCATCCATTTAATAGCTTTGTTTTTTTAACCACGTGTCAACACTGGGTGCAGGCACCTTGCTTTCTAGGCCACTTTTCAACACTGCCTGCAGCCTTTACAAGTTGGCAACACTCTACTCAAATGAATATTCATGCAATGCATTTCAGGGTGGCAACACAGGAAATCAATCTTATTAGATTGTATAAAAATCTTATCAGATCGTATACAAAATCTGGTATAAAATCATTTTGAAGCTTACCTAATAAAAACATATTAAACATATTTTAATTTTTAAACCTTGCCGATTATTGGCAAGACAAATAAAATATATATAAAATAAATAAAAAAAAATTAAACATAATTTTACAATTATAAATATATTATGAAATACCTTTGTTTTCAGCCTGATTGTTCCATTGGGACGTAATCCGTTCCCAATATTTTGTATGTATGTTATTGAGGATATATATTATAAAATTATTTTTTTTTCAACTGATTGATCCTTTGTAACGAAATCAGATCAAATCCATCTTTTATGTTATATCAGGAGCATGAAAACTGAATTTGCTGAAGATAAAAAGAACACAAAATGTCTCGATGAATGACTTCTATTCGAAACCGAGTCGAACGTCCATTGGCCCTGGCTGCTTTAAAGTTAAATTAAGAAAAGTTTCCAATTTAGAAACGGTCGTTAACGGTAATATGCCTAAAATCCAACGACCAAAACACACAAATATTTACCTTGTTTTTGCCTTATGATTTTGTACCAATTTCATTATATTTGCGACTTGACACGCTGCACAGATGTGTTTTGAATATAAAAAAATTTTTAAATAATTTTTAAAGTTCACTAGAGATCGTCCTAAGATCTCATTTCATCTTAACACACATTATGGAAAAAATCTCCATTTATACATTGTCATATTGTAACCAAAGAGAGATATGCAGCAAATGTTTTTAAGCGATTCACTTGTGTTTCACATGTTTGTTTTTATTATACGTAGCTTTAATTTAGACAAATAAATTATGAATTATACGATATAATAACTATGGTCAACATATGTATTATTGCAACTGATGATGATGGTGGGGTTGGTTGTGTGTGTGTGTGTTTTTTTTATCGTGTTTGGTTCAATGAGCATTATTAGATGATGCAAATGTTTGTAAAATATTTTATCAGCACAAATGAAATGCGCATCGAAACGAAATATATCGAATTATTTGAATGATGACACATTCAATGTTCATTTGTTTGATGATAAAACAATAGCATTTGATTGCGTAGTAGTTTTTAGTATGACTAACTAGAAGAAGACTGGATAGACTGAGCTGTTGCCGGGTTGTGAGTGAGTCGTTGTCGTGGTTAAGGCGGCATTTATTAATATCTTCATAACATGTCTCTGAGCACTTCTTTTTGCGCGGCAGTCAATTTCTCCGGAAATTGTATATCGAAGGCAACCAACAGATCGCCCTTGCGCGTGGTATCCTTGGGAAAGGGTAATCCATAGCCCTGGATGCGTTTCACAGTGTTCGGCTTGATGATCTCCTGCATGGTGCTGATGCGCAGTTTATCGCCGGACATTGTAGGAACTTGAAAGACAACGCCGCAGAGCGCCTACAAATAATATCAAGAGAGACGTATCAATAAATATAAGTATAAATAAAATGCTTCAACTATTGCTGGGCTTATCAATCAAGCACAATCTGAAAGAAATCCCCATAAGTAAACAACTCAATTTCCTGTAAAATGTTATTGTACACAAAAAAAAAAAAAAATAAATGAATGAAAGTAAGAAAAAATAGGGAAAGCTGGTCAAACAAACGCACATGGGCTTTAACTGTGGAATCTATCAATCTTTTTGGTAATCCTGTTTATGTTCTTGGCTGCCACTTGCCACTTGCCACTCGCCACTTGCCACACCCAGCAGCAGCCACATGTCGCTTGGAATCGAACAGAAATGCTCCCTCGTCTGCTTATTGTGTTTGCTTTGTGTCTTGCATAAATCCTTTTTATGCTTTTTATGTGCCTAATTCGTGTTTAAACATGTTGTTGACATGTTTCTCCGCACCAAAAATCTACAGACTGTATTCCTTGTTTGTCCACTTTTAGCCGGGACGATTCCATTTGCCCCAGCTGACATTCGATTTGTTTAATTGGCCAGCTAAAAGATAGCTATCAATCATGATTTGCTTCGATTGAGATATTAATGTGCCCAACTTAATTAGTGAACGAAACTTGCTCATAATTGAAGAGAAAAACTTTTTGGCTTCTTAGTCATGTGATTGGCAAAGTTAAAGAGAAGTTTTAATAATATTATAACAAGTTTTTGTTCGGAGCAATTGTAGCATCTCTTTAGTGAGAGCTTTAAGCAACAGACAAACGCTTTAAGCTAGCTTGAATATATCACGTGACTCTTGAAAGCTCGTTAAAATTACAGACTAAAAGAAGGTTAAAGCTCGACCAAATGTCAATTATTCACACCCTCATCATAACTTAAAGCTCATCCAGGCTTATAGTTAAATTTGATGTATTAAAAATGTATTGTATTAAAGCACATAAGCTTTATTTTAATTAAAGCTCATCTAATTCTTACGCTAACTGTTATGTATTAATGCACAAAAAGCGATATGAATGTACTCTCAGCTAAACAAGCTATTAAAGCTCATCCACGCTTTAAGCCAAATATTATGAATTAAACACATAAAGCTCTAACACTTTCACACTAACCAAGCTATAATTAACTTGAAGATCATCTAAGCTTTGCGCTAAATGTTATTCATTAGAGACAAAAAAATCAACAGCTTTCCCTCCCGTATTTTCTCTTCCAAAGTAGCTATAATTTTCAAGAGCTTAAAAGATTGTTTAAGCTTTAAGGTAGCTTTATTATATATTTTAAGGCTTTATTTGCTACAATAAACTTGGGGTTGAATTCATATTCGAAACAATTATTTTAAAAACAAAATCGTTTGTCAAAAGCTTAAGTTCTTTAACATAATAATAAGCTCTTTTTTAAAGCTTTTTACTAAAATTAAAAATGTTCAAATGTTTTTTTTTTTTTGAAATTTAATACCATAAATCAGTTACGCCTTTCTATAACATCCAGTTGTCTGACACTTGTCATATGTACTATACACACTGTACACACTGTACACATTGTGATTTGATACCCAGTTACCCGCATCGGACAGTTGTCCAGAACATAAAACCCTGTGAACGGTGCGAAACGCTGCCTCGCCCAATAAAGAACATAAATAAATTGCGACAAAAGCAAAGTGCACACCTTATGAATATTTAAATATATGTATGTATGTATGCTTATATGTATGTATGTATTCGCCGAGAGGTGAATTTAAAGCGATGACAACATAAACTGATGACGACGGCAACAACAACAACAACAATAAGAGCAGCACAAAATGCCGATGATGACGACGACGTCGCCGCCGCCAGCATTGAAATTTTTTAATGGAAATGTTAAAAATGTTCTCGCAAAGCAAAAACAAAACAAAAAACGAAGTAAATAAAAATCAACAACTACAAAAATCTGTAACATAAAAACGCTTAAATACTTTGCTACCTTTTACGGAAGCTGAGCCATAAAAAAAAAGAGCACACAGGGAATACAAATGCGAACTGCGATTCGGTTACAAGCAACAACGGGATCAGCTGGGTAGGTGAGGGGAATACGCATGGTGGATAAGGGCACAAATCTGTTGCCTAAAATGGCAGCTGGTTCTTGCGCATAACAATAAATATAACAAAAACATACACAATTTTAATTGCGACTATGGCTTATTCATATTTTAGCCATAAAAGTTACAAGAAAAATGTCTGTAAAATAAACAAAATTCTTGCTCTAATAATCGTGTAGAATATTAAATTTCTCTATTTTCTGTTTATATCAGCATATTAAATTAAAAAACTAATGAATAATCAAAAAATGTCCCTGCTCGGGCGCCGTACATACACATAAAATATATATAAAGTCCCTGCTCGGGCGCCACACTAATTTTAAAAAATCTAAATTATTTTATAAAAATGTTAAAAATTTGTTTACTACATAAAGTTTCTTAGTTTTCAGCTTGTATGCGCATTTTAACTGAAAACTAATGAAAACTAAAAAACTGTCCCTGCTCGAGCGCCATGCATACGCACATGTTTTAAAAGTCCCTGCTCGGGCGCCTAGCTAATTTCTAAAAATCAAAATTGCTGGTTTTATAAAAATGTTTATAAGTTATTTACTACATAAAACTTCCAAATTTTCTGCATATATGAGCATATTAAATTAAGAAACTAAGGAGTATTAAAAACTGTCCCTGCTCGGGCATACATATATAGAAATACAAACATACATTTTAAAAAGTCCCTGCACGGGCGCCAAGCTAATTTTTTAAAAATCTAAATTATTTCTTTGCTTATATGTTTAGAAATAGTGTATAGTTAATAAGAGAACATTAAATTTCTCAGGGTATATGGACATGTTGAATAAGAAACTAGGATTTTAAAATTTTCCCTGCTTAGGCACCACGCACAGAAAAGTTTAAAACAAAAAAATTAAATAATTCATTAATTACTTAAATTAATGAGCATTTGGAAATCAAAAGCGATTCATGAGTGCTCAATTTTTCCAAAGAGTACGAATAGTTTTAATAGTCAAACAACAATTGTAAAAATTGTGTGCATTTTTCAAAAATATCCCCAAAGCTACTCTAAAAAACATGATTTCCCATCAAGCTGAACTTCTCTTTTAACAGTTTCGGTATTAGTTAGTCTAGTTAAGGGAAATAGCAAACATAAACTACCCCAGTTTTGCGCGACGCGAGACAATTACAGCTCGCTCAAAAAATAAACTGAAAAAGTGTTTGAAAAACAAATCAACGACATTCAATAGCATGTCATAAAGCATTTTGTTGTTTTACTTGATTTTTATTTTTATTTTACCTTTATTTTTTTGATTTTTTTAGAATTGACAATGTGAAGGACGCTGACGACTGTCATCAAAATGCAAACGAAGCCGTTGAATGCTTTTTGTATTGAGCTACCGATTCTATGCAGTCGAAAAGTTCTCCAACCAAAAATGACAATGGCAATGGGCAGACAACATTTCAAACAGCAGCAGCAACAACAACAACAACAGCGATAACAAAATTTGTGACGTCTGGCCATCAGTTACACGAGCAAGCCATAGACATAGGACAAACACATAACCAACGTTCAATTGTTGTTTTGGCATTCATCAATTTTTGGGGTAGATGATGCTGCATTCGCGGATTTCGGACGCAGACAACACTCAAAGCGACAACAATTTTATTCTTGTTATTTTTTTGTTTTTTTGTTTTTTTCGCCATTGAGCTGTTGACTTTGCATTCCATCTAAAATTTACGAGTATATGCACATAGTATGTCCATAAAGCACTTCTCCTATTTCTATTATAAGTATGTGCTGTAGGTCAGTGCCATGAGTGCAGCAATATTTTAATGATCCCATTTTAGTTTAGTGCTTTAGTCGAATATTAAATGTCATCAAAAATTATTCACCGCTTGCTGCAAATTCTGATTTTGTAACGTGAACGATGATGTAATTTATGGCCGATATTAAATTTAATGCATAATGCAACAATAAAAACAAATTCAATATTGTTGCGGCCAATTATGTGAAGTACTTATTTGGCGCTTTAATTGCTTTACGGCCCGCTTTGTTCAGCAACAAAAAAATCAAATTCGGGCAACCATTTGTTATTTTAATTACAATTCCTTTTCCCTTTTTCCTTTCAATAAACGACAAGAAAACGTAAATAAATTTACATAAAGTATGTTCAAGCTATTAATCTGATTAAACAAGAAAGTGACGCTTGTTGCAGCGTAACGAATGGTTGATTCCCTTTTAAAAATCATTTCTCAAGGATTATTTATTTTCTATTTGAAAAAATTTACCTTCGACCTTTCTATGCGATTCTCATTGATGTATCTTCAAAATATTATATTAAATTGTTACAAAAAGAAATTTATACCCGAAAAATTTCCTTTCGACCTTTTTAAGCGATTCTCATTGCTGTATTCTCAAAATACTATATTAAATTTTATATCAAAACAATATATCCAAATGTTACAAAAAAGATTCTAATTTTTTAAGGCCCAAAATTTTGAAATAATAAACTATTTAAAATGATCTCAGAGATGTTATTTAAAAAAACATTTCTTAAAATGTATGTATGTTTCCGTTCGACCTTTCTATGCGATTCTCATTGCAACATCTTCAAAATATATGGAATTGTTTCAAAATAGAAATTCGAATTTTGACATAGTAAAATTTTTAAAAATGTACTCATTTTGATAAACCAATTTCATGGGTTCTATAAAGATTTTATATTATAAATATGAACTCGTAAATTTGTCAAGGTGTTGCCAGATTACATTGAGGAAGTTGCCACACTGGGCCAAATATTTTATGAAATGCAGTTTAGAGTTTTCTCAACTAGCACCAACTTTTGTAGGAGACTGAAAAGCGGTATTTATGACTAAAAACGACTTTTAAGCTTTAGCTTATCCAGTTGTTAAATACTTAAGTATTAATCGCCTTAAACTATAAGACAGACAGAGCATAATGTCACAATTATATGGACATCTTACGACCCTTAAATTGATCTTATGGCCAGCTGTCAACCGTTTAGGTCTTGCCAAATATTGCAAAATATATGATATGATACGGTCTTGGGCTGGGTTCTCACAGTATGGCGCCCAATTAAAGCCGGGCAGCGCCTAAATGAAATTATAATGAAATCAGCGTTATGGTTATGGCAAATTTACCATATACGCGCCTGAAGCTGCCGACCAGACCAGGCCAGAGCCAGACTCTGGCCAAGAGCTGAGAGCTGGCTGGCAGGCGAATTTGGTCAACATGGTCAAGTTTCAATTAGGCGGGCACAGCAGTTGGTCGGGCCAACACGTACGCACACTCTGTGGCAACTTGGTAGGCAGTTCATGACGCTGAGGTGTTAAATTTTTCACAGCCAACTGCGTTAAAAGTTGGGGCGCAAACTTCGCGCTAAACTTCGCATATGGCGAACAAGCCAAAAACAAGCAGAAAAAATCATACTTAATGATTACCACAAAAAATAGATAAATAAATAACATGCTGGCCAGTCCGTAGTCATGTTAAAATTGTTAATTGCATTAACTAGATTAAATAGTTGCTATCTAAGTTTTGACATTTTTAACATTTTATTGCTTGTTAGTGCGACAAATTTAGTAAATATTTTTGGGGTCTCAGTTTGCCCATTTTGGCAGCGTTTTCATTTTCATTTTTCAACGATAAACACTATGTATATATATATCTAAGATATATATGTGTATATAAATTATGATTACCATTTTGGTAGAGTCTCAGTTTAGCTAAAAGTGTCATGTTGTGGTTTCTATTTAGAAATATTTGACACGGTTTTTTGTGTGCGGCTCGTGATAATTATGATTGCACATTGCGGAATTTGGTAATATCTCCAAATGACTATTCAATTATATAAGTTCTAGAAATTGATTATCAGCTGTATTTTTTCAAGATCATATTTTTCATGGGAAAGCAAGCGCATGACAGTTGCTTTCTATTTGAGTTCTAGGCAAACAAATATGTCAGACTGAGAAATAGACAGCTTTAATTCTCCAGAATGGGGGTATGTTAAACTTGGCATCAGATTAAATTATCTAGAAGTTTAGAAGCTTAGAAGTGCTTTTATTTGCGAATGATTGTTCCGATAGGAGGCATATGATTTAGATATAGATACAGACATATATTTGGAGACTAGCGAGACTTCTTCTTTTAAACAAAAGAGTTTGCTATAAATAAACTCAATAATCGACCGATTCTTGCTTTAGAGCTATATGATACAGCAATTCGATGTTGAAAAGATATGTCAAGATATCTTGGAAAACAAAATACTTAACTTTTGAACGTTTATTCATATGCAATTCTTACGATTCCGATCTATATACCGACTGCAACAAAAAAGACCTATGCAAATAACTTCTAAACTGGAAGACATATTTAAATGGACAGTCGTGACTCAGCTGTTGATCATGATCCTTATTAGGCATTTATAATACCTTCTACGAGTTCATAATAAATTGATAAGTATCTTTACAGACACATTCCCGCTAAGCCCTCAGCTCACACTTAAAAGTATGCCAATAATTCGACCTCTGCTTTTTTGTGCACTCACCTGCTTGAGCGTCAGCCTCGCCGTGTATCGCAAATCGCTGCCCTCGCGCTTGAACATGGCATGTGGCTTGTCCCGAATGATGAACACAATATCCGCTGGTATTTTGCCGGGCGCCTGATCGCCCTCCTTCTGGAACGTGACTTTGGTGCCCGATTTCCAGCCGGGTTTAATAGATATTTGCAGGACTTTGTCCTCCTTCTTGGAGCTGCCATCGGGCTGGACAACACGACGTGAGATTTTCATTTTCTTAACACAGCCATGATAGATTTCCTCCAGTGTGACATAGAGATCATGCTCGACGGGTGGATCCTGTTTCTGTTCCTTTTTGAAGGGGGTGTGCACATTGAAGGAGTGTGATCTAAAAGATGGCCTACGAAAGCTTAGCAAATATGAAACAGATTTCAATGCAGAGTAAATCTACCTGAAGGCGCTGCCTAGGCCATGCCTAGAGCCCAGGCCGCCAAATGGCGATGAGAAGAAATCGGGTTCCGTATCCAAATCGAAAACATTCTTATCAAACAGATTGTCGCCCATGTCAAAGAACGAGGCAAACGGATTGCTGTTGCCAAAGAACTGTGTAAATGTGGCCCGCGGATCACCATGGAACTGATATGTAAATGTATTTTTGCCACTGCCACCGCCATTGCGAGCGCCTAGAAATATAATAAATGATAAGAATCAAAATATGAGGATATATTCATTAACTAACCGCCACTCTTCAGTCCATCCTCGCCATATTTATCGTAGATGTCGCGCTTGCTCTTATCCGAGAGCACTTCGTATGCCTCGGCGACCTCTTTAAATTTCTCCTCAGCATTTGCGGCTTTATTTTTATCGGGATGATAACGTAACGCCAGTTTTCTGTAGGCCTTTTTGATCTCATCATCGGTGGCAGTTTTTGTTAGGCCTAAAGTCTTATAGTAATCTTTGCCCATTGTGTATGTGTTTGTGTGTGTGTGTGTGCGTGGGAGGTTTTGAGTTGCTTTATATAGTTATATGAAGTTCCCAAAAAGGCGACGTCTTTAATTCTATGCGCTCTGCTCTAAGGTCTGTAATGCAAAATGCTTTAATTAATTGCAATTCGAGTTTATATTCATTAAAACTTACAAGTTTATATATCATTTGTCTATAGTCCATATATATGAGTGTGTATATATATGTTTCTAGTTCCGGGTGTTACTTAGTGGCTATGATACTGCTCCAAATTTCCTGCTTTCTATAATGGCACATACATTTTGTTGTCTGTTTGTTGTTTTTTTTCTGGGGTTTCTTCTGTAAATTAATAATTACAAATTAAATAAACATATGAACAAATTTAAAAGCTGCTGTCAAAATTTGAACCAGCGACCTTACGCTTGTTGGTTCGATGCGACAAGCATTTAATTCACACACACTTTTTTGCTGCGTTGTTGTTGTTGTTGTTGTTGATGCTTTTCATAAAATCTTTGACAAAACTTTTTATCACTTGAAGATGCAATTAGAATAAGAAGAAGAATAAGAAGAATTGCAGATATCTGTTCCTTTGGGTTGCGCATTGATCCCTTATAAGTCAAGTATTCGGGTCACACTCAATTATATATAGATATGTATATTGATACATATATTGGGTTAGTTTTGTCGAGAAACTTTTAAAAATCGCCCATAAGTATTATGATGATAGTCGCCTCCAATAGCACGTCACAAGCCTTGGCCATGTTCAATGCTAAACCGCCTACACGTTTTGTTAAATTTAGCACTCGAGAGCGAACAGAAAAGGCAACACACACCACACACACACTCATTCAGAGCTCAAAGATTGGGAGATTTTGTTGAGCAAGTCGGACGACGAGTACAGAGAGATATCTAAATTTATGAGCACATTTAAATTAAATATTTGCTTATGCAGAACTACAAATAGAATTAATATTATTTATTTTCCGCTAAAACATTTAACAAATAAATAGCACAGCACGGCAAGACACAAGCGCCGGGAAACTCTTTTAATATACACAAGACTAAGTACATATCCATATAGATACATATATATACATATATATATGTATGTACTCTCTATATAAGCATATACACATATGTTTATGAAATTTTGTGCGCTAGCCAATTTGCATTGACCTTAGCCAAAGCGCTAAAATTCCAATTGAGTTCAAACAAGCACAAGAATTCGAATTGACAATGACATTTATGAATGTCTTCATTAAATACTGACAACGGCAGATCACTGTGAATAAAAAACTCTTAAGAGCAATGTATAGCATATATATATATATCTATATATATTGTATATCATTTGAACTGTTCCTGGTTTGCGCTTAAAGCAACACAATACACTTCATCTATTAATTTCTTCTAGTTGCGGTTAGGCGCAGTCATTCAATAAATATAATCAACTATAAATAAGACATTTCATAGTGAAAAGTTAATCAAGCTCGAAATTGAGAAGAATTTTATATTAGCCACAATAAAAGAGCCGCTTTTCAACTCAAATTCAGCAAAAGTTAATTAATAAAAGGCATTTATTTAATAGAACAAAGGAATTCTTGATTGTATTTATAAAATAAATATTTTAAATACTACTAAGGCTCGCATTAACATACTGTTATCATGGGCGTAGCTTTACATTATATGACTGCTAAGCAAAATATGAATTTTAACAGAGCTATAAGCAGCGCCACATAACAGAAGCAATGCATATTAACATAGCCTTAGCACTGTTAACTTTATACAAAAGCCTAGCTGTGGTTATCCTGACGCTCTGAAGGGGATCAAATAAAAAAACCATTGGAACTGAGAACTCTTACAGAGTTTTAGAAAATAAAAGAATATTTGGGAAAATTTTTTATGCAATCAATGAAAATACATAAGAGAATTGTTTAACAGTTTCTGGAGAATCCACATCAGATCAGAAACAAAAACTGTAGTTAAATTAAATAGTAAATACTCTTCCTAGGCAAAACCCGGACGGGTGTACCGCACTGTGAAAATAATTAAGAAAATATTTGGCTAAACCAAATATACTTTAGCATGAATATTGTGAGTCACATAACAGAGCGAAAACATGTTAAAATTATTAACATTAAGTAAGTACACACAGTTATTATTCATTTTATGCGCCAAGCAACATTCAAAAAGTAAAAACTAAGCTCTTCTTATGTGTATCAGTTACATATCCAGACAGTTTATAATTTCAATTGCCCTCAATCAAGTTCAAGTTGAAATTAATGCGATTCCCAAGTCCGATTCATTAACATTCAACATGTCAACGCCTGACAATCCAGTCTCAATGCAATTGCCAGCCTTGAATTTAACTGATTTCATCTTGGAATATAATTTTTTTTTTTGTTGTTGTTGTTGTTGTTGTTGTTTTCTTCTCAACTTGTTGCTTTGACAACACACAACAATAATTTCAGCACAAATGTCTGCTGCCAATTTGCTGCCTTGAATCCAAATCTGAATCCAAACTCGATGTCTCATGGGGGGACGAGCTGTCAATAATGCGCGCAATTTGCTCGATTGATCAGCGATCCAGACATAGCTCGACTGTCGACTGCAATATATTCACATGCGATATGCATATAATTGCTATGCCCCGATATCTATCTATTTATCGATCATTGAATCGTGCCAAATGTGTGCCACATTGACTTGGGGCGTGGGCGTGGGCGTGGCGCATTTGGGGCGTTGGGGTATCAGGCAAGGCCATCGCGTCGCGACCATAAATATAATTTTTCCACACATTTTTCGCTGGCGAATTTCGGGTTTTTTTTTATAAGAAATTTGCGTACGTCCAAAAATAATTCTTGAAAATTATTACGCAAGGTGAATATATGTTTATTTTCTATCTTTTTCCAACCCGATTGCTATGTAGATATATGCAAAAGTTTATGATTTTCCTTTTTGACAATTTAATTGAAAAATTTTTCGCGCACGTTTCGTTTGGTGTTTCTTATTGAATTATTAACAACATTCGCATTGTTCGTGCAAAATAATGAGTGTTGTATGGATATAAATTCATGCTGATACGAATATTATATGAGTATTCACATCCATCCAACCCACCCCTCACCTGCATTGACAATTACAACATGTTTCTGTGTGGGCGAGACTTCCGCATAAATTATTAACACACACACATCAAATCGAATTCGTTGCTTATTGATTACAATATAACATTTGTTTAACAATTTATGGCAATTTTATATGCATATAGAGGTACATAAATATATGCTGTATGTATGTTAAACAGCATTATTGAAATGCTTTTAATGTTGTGCATACCCTGTTAGTATACAGATTTATGTAAAGCAGCATGTTAAGAGTTGTAACTGTGAATGTAACACAATTTGCAAGTCTCTAGTTTATTAAAATATATATTATTAATCATGCTAAAAACTAATAGAAATTTTCTATGAATGATTCTCAATTTTGGGACACGCAACTCTGCCTACTTCATCTAACTGTGCTAAAAGCTGCATAGTAATCGAATAGCAGGCACTTGCGTTATTCGATTATTTTAGTTATGTAGACTAAGGTCTTTAATCAGTATAGGGTATTTTTTAGTCCAGGCTTAAGGCTTTCTTGCTTGTTTTAGTGCAATATTTTTGCCATTTTTGTATATGCAATTTCAATTTCTAGTTATTCAGTCGCACGTATAAAAAAACACACACACACACACACGCACAACAATTACACTTTGGATATACATACATATCTGTGCGAGCTAAAATTAATAAATTGTCGTAGGTTATGAGGCCAGCGCAAAAATTATGGCGCCCCATGCGCTCTAATTGAATTGAACTTGATTTATAATGCCGCGCTTTACTTTTATCCACTTTTTATGATCGCAAACGCCTCTTGGCTCATAAATTTGCAAGCGAATACGCAACTCAAATCCACATGCGACGGCATTTTCGGCAAAATAAAATTTAAAAAAATATCTACTATATACATATATGTATATGTATTTACAAATATTATTGTTTGATTTATGGACAAGCTTGAAGTTATAATTAATGGCTGGAAACATATAGGTAAAATATGTTAAAAACAATATTTGCAAACATAGTTTCAATATGACATTATATGAAAATAAAAACAAATAAAAAAGTTTTGTAAAGGCTTTAAAAATATATATTTGATATATATATAAGTTCGGAGTGCGAAAGGGGCTTAGGATCACATTCATGACCATGAAAAACCAGGCATTAGTACTAAGTACTCATGCATTATAGAAATTAAATAGCTCGCTAACAGTGTTGATAAATATCAATGAAAAGTAACAGTATTGAATAACCAGCACATGCATTCACGACATTTTAAATAAACTTTTCAATTTGTTTGACGTTTGTTTATGTTTTCGTAGAGAATGGCATTTTTTTAGGGATGTACTAAAAACTACCGGCTAAATATTGTATGTAACAGTGTGGGATAGGAACATCTCTCAGAGATGTTGAAATGAATGAGAAAACCTAAAGCACCATCTTTACAGAAAATGTTTGATATTAAATGTTACTCAGTGTTAATTGACTAATAAAGGCAACTTTTATTATATGTAACTTTCAGATCATGTGCTATGTCCCTCTATAAGTAAACTCTCTGCTTTGAAAATTTGTCACTAAAATTGATAACAAATTGCTGGAATGATGGTCAGCCAAAGAATGCCAATAATTGTTATGGACGCAGGAAATATGTATGTCATGGCATTTCCCAGATAAGTTCAATAAACAAAATACACTTCACGTACAGTTCACATGCACACCTGGCTCTTCCTAAATAACAACTTTAAGAATTTCGTTATCCAACACTTTTTTAGCGCACAACACCACAGTTTCAGCTTTCAAGGTTAGTGAACTGAATATTTGTTTTTTTCGCTCTGTCTTGACCAACTCGATTCGCATTGAGTTGGGCACAAAGCGCCTTCATTCACTCTCGTTCTCTGCTTCAAAGTCAACAACAGCTTCATTCATTGACAACCACATTTTGTTGTTGTTATTGTTGCCATTTTGCTATTTTTTGATGTATTTAAAATTAGGCAAAAAAGTCAAACAGCGTGAAGTTTATTCACCCACGTTGCGCAAAAAAAAAACAACATTTTTTTTTTAAACCAAAAAAAAAAAGACCAACATCAATAAAAACCAAGCATAACATTTAGGCAAACAAACTCGAATGGCCAAAAAATAATATTTTTATAAATTATTTAAAAAGCCAACATTTGATTCCAGAATGTTGCGTTGTAGGTGTTTCTAAGCCGAAAATCCGTTACGAAAATAGACGAAATGACTAAGCGTAAATGAGAGCTAAAAGTGTCCACAGTGGAGACTCCCACATGGCAATGCGGAATATTTTTGGAGAAAACATGTGCGAGCCGTTTCATTCAAATGAATCACATATTGGAATGGCACTCGGGTCCAGGGGGCGGTCAACGACGTTAATTTCGGTTCAAGACTGTTGCACAAAAAAAAAATCTCGAAAACTTATGCAATTTTTATTTAGTTTTTGGTCACAATTTAAGAAATGCGCTGGACTACTGAATAAACATAGAAATTCTTTACAATATATTCAATTTCCGTTTGTTTTGGCATTGTATTTAAAACGTAAGCAAACAATAAACCGTGTATTTATGCCATTTGCATAGAATAACTATTAAAAAGCAAAATACAACAAACATATTGTAGATTTTTAGAATTTCAAACTTGGCTACCAAAATTTGCATACGACTCTGAAAACAAGTTTTAGTTATGTTTTTATTGCTTGTATTGTATTTGTATATATTTGTTATAAATATTGATACACGATCAAAATTTAATCAAAATGTAATTTTGCAACACTTTTTATTAACACTTTCCCAACAAGTGAAGACAAAAAGTATTAATGACGTTTTATTTTTAACACTCGTTAAACGCACCGTGACAACACTAAAAAAAATTGATATCAATCAATTACAATAACAACACTGGAAACTGAAAAACAACAAAAAAAAAGCTCCAAGTATATTTCCTTTTTGTGTTGCTTCTTCCAACCACATTGCGATTAGTTTGCGCTTAATTGCCAGCCACAACAGTTCTTCGTGTTTATCTGCTCTTTGCCTATTTATGACGAGCACCGTTTTGCGGCAAATTTGAATCAAGTGTGGCAAATTTGAAGACAAGAACAACAACAGCACCGGCCACCGCCTACGTCTGCGCCGCCCACTCAGCAGCTGTTCAAAGAGTTGTGTGCGCTCTCTTTTGTTTTAATGAGAGAGGTGGAGGGTGAGTGAAAGAGAGCGCGAACGAGGCTATTTTGTGTGTCATAATTTAAAAATACAAATAAAAGCTGCAGAAACGATAGACTGCTAACGGTAAAGATTGACAGTTTGCATATGTGTCTGTCTGCCTGCATGTGTGTGTGTGTGAGTAAGTGATTACGATTATGATTAGCGCTGCTGCGGCGTTTGACTCTCTTCTTGGTAATTTGCCATTTGTTTTTATACTCTTCCCCACACATACACACACAAACACGTACAGCAAGGCGAACTCTTGTTTTTTTTTTATTTTCTAATTTTTGGAGGCCAACAATCTTTATTTTATTTGATTTCTTTTGTTCAATCATAATCGTTGCTTTTTTTATAATCTTTATGGTTGTAACACACAGTGTGACCAATGCGACTTTGGGCTTTCTGGGCATAGCGTTAAAGAGGAGTTAAACGTAAACAAAAAAAGTTCTCCAGACAGTTTCCATTTGGCTGAGCTTTTTTGACAGCTTGAGGCTGCGACTTTTTTCATATAAAAAACATTCCAATTGGATATGTTCACCTGCAGCTCCAGGCCCTTTTAAACCCTGTATTGCGGCACAACAAATTACGTATCATACACAAATCTGTTCGCACACACATAAAATGTATGTATTTACCAAGTGGCCGCTGTGTATATTCCAAAGAATCGCCAAGAATATTCGAAAATAATCAAGCGAGCAAACAGAAACAGAAGCAAAAAGTTGGTGAGAAAAAAAATATACAAAAATAACTAAAAATGCTAAAAATAAAACTTATTTAAAGAAATGAAACCATGAAAAATCAAAAACACAGGCTAAACCAAAGGCAAAACGATGGCTAGTAAAATACAAATAATAAAGAGAAACTGAAATTTTCCGAACCAACCGTGAAAATGTTCCTACGAAAAGGAAAATTCTTCTTAGGGGGCCTTGGACTTTGCCTAATTTGCACATGATTTTCTGCCTCTGTAAATGTAAATGGGTGCACAAATATGAAAGTACATAGAGTCCAATTGGCCGTTGTGTTTAATGGGAATGTCCAATACATTACGTTCTGCCGAGAATCCAATAAGAAGTTGTGCAGGCTGCTGTGACGCTTAAAGCTCTCGACGAAACGAAATGCAAAGAACATTAAATGCGACGAAAACTCGCAAAAATTCAAGCCATAAAAAGCACTTTACAATGCACAGTTCTGTGTAAATGTATGAATAAATACACATACATATACATATACAAATATATATATGTGTGTATGCACATATGTATTTTTGTTATTTTGCTTTGACCACATTTGGCAACAGGCAGAACGTAGCACGTTAAGCCTCAGCACACACACTCGCACACACACACGCACGCACACCAAGAACTCCAGCAGCAGCAACAACAAAAACACCAACTCACGCTCACTCACGCACGCACTTGCAATTGTGTTGTGATTGATTGTAGCAATAAATTAACAAAAATAATATCTTACAATTGGTAGTGGATTCAAAATTTCAATCTGTTTTTATTTATTATTAACACGTTTGTTTCTTAAAGCGGGCGAGGCGGGGAGCTGTATTAACTGCCAATGGCCGCTGAAATGCGTAGACTGAGCGCCTGAAAAAACCGTTACAGCGCAACAACGACAACAACCGCGCGATCACCGACGATGACGACGCTTTGAGACACACTAAACAGCCAGACTGGCCGCGACTGCTGTCAAATGTTGAAATGCCTGCTGATCTCCGTCTCTGACGCATATGCGAGCGCTCGTGAGAGCCAGAGAGCAAAAGAGCAATACCCAAAAAGCGCACGTTTCTTTTTGTGGGAGGGAGGAGGGAAACACATTTAAACAGCAGCACAAACAAGTACATACAATGTATTTGCATACATACACACACACACACACACTCACTCACACATATTTTTGTCTGTATGTTTGTGGACACATTCAAGTACCATACGGCATGAAAGAAAAGCGAGAATAGAGTACAAATTGAATATAAATTGATCCTCCTTCATGCGGCATTCGATGTCTCGCATGCGTCATGTGTGGTAAGCTTTTTCCCATAGGTAAGCAAAGAGCTTTTGACGCCAGACACGAGTGCCAAAAGCTTTAACGTGTCGTAACAAAAAAAGGGAAACTGGCCTTTAGATACACTTACAAAATAATAACAGTTGCTTCAACATAGATAATAACATTGAACTCACACGATTTGTTGTATATACAATAAGTTCATTGGTATATTTGTCATAAAGAGAGAGATACTAGACTCAACTGCTCGCTGTTTGCTCCTCTGCCGCATCGGGCGGCAGTTCAATTTTCACCGCTGCCAAAGCCTCACGTATCCAGCTGGGTATTGGATCGCACCCAAAATGACGCGCCATAAAATCACGAACGAATTGTGGGAACTCATCGCGTTGCACAGCCTCCCGCATGGAGCGCATCAGACGCAGCTGATAGGCCACATTGTGGACGCTGAGCAGCGAGCAGGAGACGGGCTCGTTTGTGGCAATGTGATGCAGGTAGGAGCGTGTGTAGCGCCGGCAGGTGCTGCACTCGCACGCCTTGTCAATGGGCTGCATGTCGTGCTTGTACTTCTGCTGCTTCAGGTTTATCTGGCCACTGTCCACCAGGGCGCAGCCAAAGCGGGCTGTGCGCGTGGGAAAAACACAGTCGAACATATCGATGCCCAGTGCCACACAGACGACCAGATCGGCGGCAAAGCCCACGCCCATTAGATAACGCGGCTTATCGCGCGGCAGTCGGTCCGTGCACACGTGCACCATGCGCCAAAAGTCATGCTTGCTCTCACCGCCGCTTAGTCCGCCAACGGCAAAGCCGCGCACCTGACGCTCCATCAGGGCGCCCACGCAGCGCTCGCGCAACGGTACATCCAGGCCGCCCTGGACAATCGGAAAGAGGGATTGATCATCGTCGCGGGCATGCGCCTCAATGCAGCGATCCACCCAGCGTATGGTGCGCTCCATGGCCTCCTCGACGCGCGGACCTGTCGTTGTCGTCTTCACCACATCGTCCAGCTGCATCATTATGTCCGCCCCAATGGCATTCTGTATCTGCATGGAGTGCTCCGGCGTCAGCATGCACTCGCTGTTGTCGAACGGCGAGCGAAAGTTGACGCCGCGCTCATCAATCTCGGCCAGCTGCAGCAGCGAGACCATCTGAAAGCCACCCGAGTCCGTCAGTATGGCCCGTGGCCAGCCCATGAAATTGTGCAGCCCACCGGCGAGTTTCAGCGTCTCAATGCCGGGTCGCAGACCCAGATGATAGGTGTTGCCCAACAGAATTTGGCAGTCCAGCTCGATCAACTGATCCGGCAGCACGCCTTTCAAAGTGCCCTGTGTGCCCACGGGCATAAATACTGGTGTACGCACTTCACTGTGCCTAAAGACAAACAATAAACATTTAGTAAATATACAAAGTAGACTCCTTTTAAAAATATACCTCAGGGTCATAAGACCGGCGCGCGCCTTGGACACGGAGCACTCGGCCACAACCTTGTAGGTTAACGGTGGTATCTTGCTAGAACTCATTTGGCACACGCTTGTTTTATATATAATAATGCAATAATTAATAATATACTTAAAACACGTGCAACACAAAACGTAAACAAAACGTTAACACAGATAAGTGTGACCGTGTTGCAAACACCAAAATACGCACGCTAAAAATACCAACTGCTTAGCGGGTTTTGCAAATTAAATTCATCGCTTTTTATCGATCACTTTTCACTTTTGCGCACAAAACTGACTTAAATTTAATATATTAAATTATATATATTTATTATATACAACGATTATTACACTAAACGTATTTCAGCTAAGTTATGCGATTGGTATGACATGTAACGTAATGAAAATTGAGGTAAACAATTTGTATGCATAATTCAAATGATATCATCAAATCAAACCTAATTGTTATAACCCAATAATTAACCAATTAAATTCAAGCATTCTCATAGCGTGATTTCATCATTTTCTTAATGTACGTTTTGTAATCGTCACCAGGCGCCAGAGTGCTACTCTTGTTGCCCAGGCCCACATTGTTCGAGCGCGCCTCGGCCTGTAAAATGGAAGATTATTGTAGTTGATAAATTCAATTTTTTTTCTGACATACCTCAATGATCTGTGTGCGTCCCTGGTTCTTGCGCCCCAGACCCTGACCCTCCGACCAGCCCATTTTCTGCAGCAGACGGTTCCCCACATTATTTGAGCTGATGGGCATGGCGGGCGCAGCACCGCCATCCTTCTGTCGTTTCTGCATATTTTTTATCTCATGTTCGAAGCGCTCACGACTGCGATTTGGCGGCGGCGGATCGCCCTCACCATACTTAAGTCGTCGCTCCTTGGCACGGTCACGGTAGCTGTTGGTTGAGTTTGTTAATAAATGAAATATGTATGATATCTTATTTTAAGACTTACGATAGGCCTGCGCCCGCTGCGTCTTCGCTGCTGCCGCCGGCACCGCGGTCCATGTTGAGCTTAGCCAAGTTCTCCTTATGTAAATTGGACATTTTTAAATGCTTCTGTAGTATATCATGTGATTGAAAGGCACGTTTGCACAGCAGACAGGTTAGTTTCTGGAAGTCTACGTAGTCCATTTCATCGACAGGTCCGCCGTTGCCGGCCCCGCCACCAGCGCCGCCATTGTCCTCATCGGAATCGGAGCCGCCGCCGTAGGCATTTACCAATTTATTAATTGGTGCAGCGGCTGGCGTAGGCACATAGTCGCCCAGCTTGCCACGTTCTTTCTTTTCGAGTATAGAGAAACCCACATCTGCATAGGCGCCAGCCGCAGCACGTGATGTGCTCGGCCCCTCGCCGGGATCACCGCGTCCAGGTAATATGGGCTGCGGCGTGGCCACCACAGTATAGTCTTTTTTCTGATTTAATTGTTTGGCCCACTTTTCCATATCCTTGACGATTTTCTTGGCCACCTTGACCTTATCATGCTTATTGTTGTCCTTATCTTTGCCCTTCTCCTTCTTAGCCGCCTCCTCATCCTTTTCAGCGTGCGATTCCTGGGCCAGTGACTCCGCCAGTGCGGCTTGCGTTGATGCCGGTGTCGCCAGTATGTACGTGCTCCGCCGCTGATCCCAGTACAAATAGGCGCCCGTCTCATTGTTGTAATAGTACTGCGAGTGCGCATCGTAATACAAGCCCGTGCTGGGATCGTAATAGTAGCCAGAGGTTTCATCATATTGATAGCGAGATACATCGGGCGTAGCTTTAGTAAAAGATTATTAAATTAGCCAAATAAGCAAGGTGCATTTACTTAAAAGAGATTTGCCCACTCACGATAGGTTTTGCCATCATTGCCCCTGGGCGCAACCACATTCTGTGCCGCAAACGTTGCCTTCACCGCAGCAGCTGCATGTGCTGCTGCTGCTGCCGCCGCTGTGGCTGTCGTCTCTATGCTGTTAATCTTCTTCTGCTTCCGTTGTATGGCCGATAGGGCCACAGCAGCGCCAGAGTTGGCCTCAGTCACTTGAGCGTCACCGCCGCTAAGCAGCTGTCCGCCGCCCTTCTTGATCTCAGCCAAATAATAATCAGTGTAATACTGCACATAATGGGCATGCTCGGCCGGCGTGGATGCATAAAGCGAGGCACTGTACTCGGCCAGGCGCGGCACATCGGCTAGCGTATATACACCGCCCGCTTCCGAAGGTGGTACAGCGGCCAAAGCACCGCTATGAATGCTGCCTTCTTGCGTGTCCTTTGGCAATATCTGGCGATTCTCAGTGTCCATGCAGTAGCTGATGCAGACTGTAATGAAGAGATTCAAGAAATTACGAGAATAAGAGTTATGCTTTTGTTTTCAACTCACCATCACGATCATCGATCCGGAGCGGTGGATCCAGAGTGGTTAGCGCATTGTGCACATCCATCGAGTCGACAAGCGTCTCAAAGTTCAGATAACAAATGCCGCGTGACGTTTGGGTCAGCGTATCGCGACTGATGAGCACCTTATTAATGGTTTTGGCCAATTTGGGCAGCACCTTCTGCAGAGCAGTTAGCACACTCTCCTCGTTGGTCAGCGCGTCCAGATTGCGCAGCATGATCTCTGCATTGAATTGTGAGAAGTGGTTGGGGAAAGCATTTCAATTAAAAAATGTTTTCCAAAAACACCGCAACGTATCAATTTTTGGCAATAAAGTTGATATTTGTTATTTATGTATACTTTTTGTAAGAATTGGGCTAACTTCGTCGATGCCCTCGCCGCCGCCAGAGAAGATGCTTTCGCTTTCCGCGCGAGATGCCATGCACATGAAACAGGAGAAACGACGCTTGAAATTGTAGACGCCACACTGTAAGAGGGAGGAAAAGAGTTTATTAATTAACACTTTTAATATGGTTCAATGACACTTGCTTAAAGCATGCAACTAATAAGTTAGCTTTAATGTGCTTTATAAAGTTTGTTCAAATTTTTGTAATATAAAGCTATGCTTTCAACGCTCTTTTTTAATATTTTTGTATAATGTAGTTTTAAAGCTGTTGCTACTCCTGTTAGACAGCATCCTTTTTAGCATAGTTGAGCTTATTTAAATTTGGCCCAACTCTAGAGCTTAAATGTGACTATATTTTTGGCCGCTCAATGTCTACATCTGCTTTTTAGATCTTTAGGATCATGTGCTTTCATGTGCTTTCTGCTTCAGGCAAGTGTCATTTATGTATGTTTTACTAATCTTACCTTAACGCAATGCCAGTCGGTGATGCGCTTGTGGCTGTATTGCAGCGAAACGCGTTGATCGCCCAGCTTCAAAGTGCCCTGAATGAAAGAGGAAGAGAAAAGAGAAAATGGCATCGATTAGTGGACTGATCTTTGGGATAGCATAAGTTGCACAGAGTACACAGTCACCAGGTTGCTTCTGTGTCTTAAACGCGCAGTTGCCGTTGTTGTTTGCAGCCGTTGTTGCAGTTGCTGTTGTTGTTGTTGTTTTCGTTTCTCCATAGTAAACGCAATAAATTGAAATGTTTACATTAAGTTCAGTTGCCGCCAGGAACTCTCTCGTCATACAAAAAAAGTATATGAAATAAAAGACGGCAGAACAAACCAAAATGGCACGTTCTGAAAAAAGAATATGGGCTAGGAGAAATGGATCATATATGCCACTATATAATACAATACGAAGGTTTGCGATAACTTTGAACTTTTGCTGCTGTTGTTGCTCTGTCGATGGGCAAAATTGGGGAACTGAACTTAAGGCACATATTTCGCAATTATTGATGCCGAGCTTTGTTTTGTTTTGTTTTTGTTTAATAATTTTAAATTTTTGGTTTGCTTAGTTGGGTTTCTTGTTGTGATACCTGGGTTATATCCATCCAACGTGTTGCTTCCTCAACGGTATTAAACTCGACAAATGCGAAACCGCGTGATGCACCTAAATTTTAGATAGAAGCAGATACAAAATGGTTTTTGTCAAAAAAAGTAGTTTGTTTAATATTTTGGTAGCATTTTTGGGTATGTTTTGTTTATTTTTATTTTTTTGTTTTGTTGTCGGTTTTTTTATGGAAGGCCAAGTATATTCAATTTGGTTGCTGGTGCGAACTTTGCCGGACTACTGCCAAGTTAACACAAAAGTAATACTTACGCCCCGTTTATAGATATTTGTCTTACTGCATATAGTTAAGCTAAGTTATAGAAAAAGCTTCGATATTGTAACCCACCTGTAGGTCTTTTGCGTATAAGCCGTATAGAAGAAGGCTCCATATTCACTTGTATCAGTGCGCCCATTATCTGTAATAGCAAAAAGTTTAATTAATAGTTTTGCAATTCCGAAAAATAAGATTCAAAGGGTTTTTGGAAATCATACAAGAATGGAATATTTCGAAAGACAAACGGATAATAGAAAAAGGTGTAATAATTAGATTCGCTGGAATTGCAATGTGACAAAATCTTTCGAATTCCGAAAACCAAGATTTAAAAATATTTAAAAATTATACAAACAGAATGTTTCGTAAGAAAAAACGGAATAGCAAACAGCGCCAAAATCCACGTCCGTAAGGTGAAAGCGGACATGGCACAAGACTAAATCATAGTTGTTAAATATATTAAAAGCTTCTCTCCAGCAGAGCTGGTTTTTGCTAGCTAAATGTGGCTATTTTCATGTCAGCAAGAAACAATTGAAATTTAAAACGGATTTAGGCAATTGGTATCTCAATGATAAGAACTATCCACCCAGTTTTCCAATTTGTGGCCAAGAAAGGTCTCAGCATTTTTTAAAATTATTTTCAACATTAGCTGCTTTTTAAAGCGCCAGTTGGGCTACTCACGTCCGCCTCGGTGATGTGCTTTTTCAAACCAAATATAATAATTTGATTGAGAGCCTCGTTGCTGGTCCGGATGTGATTGCGACGATATTGGCTGTCGTCGCTCTCATCGCTGTCATAGCTGTCTTCATCGGAGGGATATCGTCTGTCGCGATCACGGCTGTTGCCGGGGACTGCGCTGCTGCCGTTTCCATTGTTGTGCGAGCGATAGTCGCGACTAAAGAAGTTGGAAGCTTATAAGAATTTGTATGAATATATAGGAACAGCGGAGGTTACCCGCGCTCCATGCCGCGCTCATAATCAGAGTTGCGTTCACGTGGCTCTCGATCGTAGTTTTTCCAGCGCTGGTCACGATCGCGATCACGCTCCCGATCCCGATCCCTATCACGTTCACGTTCACGTTCGCGCTCACTATCATAGTTATCGTCGCGACGACTGTGATAATTATTGGTGCGCGAATTGTTATAGCCGCTGTAGCTGCTGCCTCGATCCTCATTGTAATCATCGTTAATTAGATCGCGATACAGATCCTTGTCATCGCTGCCAGCATTGCGATGATGCATAGAGCGTTCGCGACTCCGCGAACGTGAATTTCGGCGCCTGTATCCAGCCTGGTCCCGGTTACGATCCCTGCAACGAGGCACATAAATAAATTAGCTAATTGTTACGGTCTATTTTTATATACAGGTGACTGCTGAAGCGTGTCTGTGTCTGTGTGACTAGATGTGCTTACCGAGAACGCGAACGGGAGCGACTGTAGCGTCTGTATTGGCTATTGCCGCTATTGTTGCCTCCGCCGCCAGCGCTGCCACCAGAAAAGCTGCGTCCATAGCGCGAATGCGAGTCCATGTTACGCCTACCTGAGGCCGAATTTGTTTTAAATCCAACAAAACGTGTGTTGTGCACAACTAGCTAGCAACAATTACCACGCAACTCACTCATTTAGCAAATCTCAAATAGAAACTTTCTCACTTGGTTTTAATTCCAAATTAACAATAGGCACACGCACAAAAAAATTGTGGAAAAAATCTCGGCCTGCTCTTGCCATTCACACAAAATGCCTGCTTTTGTGTTATCGATTTGAACAGGACCAAATACTAATTATTCGCAGCAAAGAAGAAGCTACGCAGCTTACCGCCCCAATTTGAAATTAAACTTAATATTAAGCTATGTTCAATATATAAATAAATTTTGCATCGCAATTATTATTACATCCATTTACCAAAAGATGCAAGAGGTAGTTTAATTCTATCGATATAAGCGCAAGACATACTGTTCCAAATTGAAATATTCTTGATCAGTGCTGCAAAACGCAATTTGTTTAACGATAAATCGTTAGTAACTCTGCAATCTGACTTATCGGTAGTGATACTGCAGGCGTGCTGGGGAAAAACCAACTTAATATAATTTTCATCAAAATAAAACGAGACATCCCCCGAAAGTAACGTCGAGCACAGAAACGTGTAAATAAGCTCCGCAGTTGTTAATAAAGTGCCAATGATGAAGAAAGTGTTATTAACGAAATCACAGCACGTTCGTGTGACTACACCAGATATAATGAAAAAAGCACCAAACGGTGCCACAACTCCGCCCATAATCAGTTCTTCGAGCGTGCGTGTTATGCACATGCCAACCAATGTAATCACTAACACATATATGCAGCGCAAATCCTTTCAGTCCATATACGAGGACATATTCAAGTTGCTTATGCGCCTGCCTGACAAGGCCCTGCAGCAGCGCGTAATTGACGCTATCAACGGTCGTAATGATAAGTCGGCTATCTTGAATCCTAATCAGTGTAAACAATGCTCTATAAATGAACAAAAACAAAAAGCCCTCAAAGTGAATGCGTCAACACAAACCGAAATAATAGAGACTAAAGAATTAGAAATTGCGAAACATATACAACCTGTGAAATCTGTTAAAAAAGAAGAATGCCGCGTCGAAACAAAATCAGCTGTTGTGAGCAGCTCAGGTAATGAGATCCCCACAGAAACGGCGAAGAAAGTGCCACGAAAACGCGGACGGAAACGGAATACATGTGTGCCGCAGGTGGTCAAGCGATCGACGGCCCAAATGGCGTTGCAGGAGCGCGAGGAGAAACAACTGACGCCGTTGCCGCCGCAAAAAAAGAAGAAAGTGGACAATTCCGTATGACGCAAACCATTAAGATAATCAGATACGCCTGTGCCTTTTTAATGATTCTGTTATTTCTATTATTTGTATAGGAGCCCAGCCCTTCTGCCAGCCCCATTCCCCAGGGAAGTCCCATGCAACGTCGAGATTCAGTCATGTCCAATCTATCCAATCTTAGTGACATCAATGTACTTGAGATGTGCAATCAAATGGATAATTACATCAACAATGACAATGAACGTACCATTTTATTGATGATGGAAAAAGAGTTCTTACGAGCTGAAGAAATGTCAGTGGAGGGTTTGCTGTACGTAAAGCTTCATATTTCACGAGTTCTAGCTTAAGCTAACTCATACTAAATGACGCATATGCAAAGAGTTTAAATTGACTTAGTTGTAATTAATGATTACCTTTTATTTTTCTTTTTGTCAGGCCCATACACGATGCAATGTTGGTTGGAGATGTTCAGTGCGTGCAGCGGCAAGTTTATGTGTGGACCAAGTTAAAGGGAAACAAGGATTTCAATGAAATACTCAGCGCCGATGGCGAGGATTGTCTGCAGCTGGCGCTAACCAATGACTGCGATCCTGAAATTGTTAGAGTCGTGCTAAATGCGGGTGTGTTGCCCAATCATATCTATGAGGACGCCAATACGGCTGTGCACATAGCCATTATTAATAATGTACAGTTGGAGTCACTGCGGGAGCTGATGCAGCGGATAGATCTTAACCTCCTGCTGCTAACCAACGACGATGGCTACACAGCGCTCCATATTGCTGTGCGGCACAATCGCTACAGAATGGCTGAGATTATATGCGACACCATCGATCAGAGAGAGTTGGGTGCACCTATCTATAGGCGTGCATCTGACGAAGTGAAGGAAACAAATGATGAGAAAACGTTTGCCAAATACTATGAGCGCGCCTGCGACAGATTGGAGCACAACAAGGAGAAGCTGCTGAGACGCCAGCTGAAGCACGAGATACTCAATGCCACCGAAGCGCGTGCGGGCAATGCAAGTTTGTTCTATGCCGTTGAAGGCGAGCTTGAACATTTATGTTATTTTCTCCTGGCTCATTTGGCCAATCCCGATGAGGAGAACCTCAGCGGGCATAGCCCTAAATCGTTTCATTATGAATATGCTCGTGTCTTGCGCATAAATTTAAAAGTCTCTCGTATTATGGATAAGGTTAATGGCATTTTAAATGGCAAAACTAGATGAAACCTAGCTAACGAACGAATTATTTATTATAAATAGCATAAAATTGTTCATTTTACTAATCCGAGTTTTGTTTCTAACCCCAACTTAAGTCCCAATTTGTTTGCTTAAGCTTCACCAAGTCTAGGGGTTGCATTGAGGGCGGCAAATTGGGTTTTGCTTTCTGTGGGTTCCTTTGCTTTTTTGAGGTTTTTCTCTTTAATTGAATCACTGGAAATAGTTTGAAAATGAGTAAATATAGAAATGTTACTTGGAAATTTATGATGCACCTATTTTCTCGAGCCGCTTCATTTGTTTATCAGTGTAATGCCGGAAATTGCAGAGGTTTTCAAACCTACAATAGCCAGCAAAGAAACGCTTGCAGGGCCGTTTATTGCGCTCCGCTGCCAATGTTTTGCGTGGATCTAAATATATACATATATATTATTTATTATGCATTTAAAAGCAAGCCATCGCTTACCCTCAAAGCGACGCATGTAGCTTCCCTTTGCAGCGGTGTGCGAAGCACCCGCATTGTGCAGCTTACGCACATTTAAGTCATTTTTCATAAAGCAGCAGCAGTAATCACAATAATAGCTTTTGCCACCCATTTACTTATAAAAAACAACTATAACCAACTTATTTTTTGTTGTTTACAAACAATTGAATTGGTTTAGGTGTGCAGTGTTGCCAGCCTGTTGTAAATGGAGCATATGTTTGTTGCACTTCCCAACACTATTTGTGAGCACTAATTAATAACAACAGCGAAAATGCTGCAAAACATTTGTTTGTATTAATTTAAATATATAGTTTTTAAGTAAAAGGTGAATCAGTAGTGCAATTATGTTTTTGCCCGAAACAGCTGTGTTCTGCATAACATTGCTAGTATATGGCGCCATACTATTGCTCTTAATTTACTATGTAAGTGACATATTTGCGATAACCGCCGGGAAAATAGGAAAATTTTAATGAAAATGATTTTGTATAACAGGTGCTAACGCTGGCCGATTTGGAGTGCGACTATTTGAATGCACAGGAATGCTGTCGTCGCCTCAACTTTTGGGTCATACCCAAATTTGGCTCACATGCGCTGCTCTGCGCCCTGCTGCTCATCTCCGGGTAGCTTCTATCAATTGTTGCTCAACTGATTTGTTAATTGTTTTTATTTTTAGTCATTGGGTGATGTTTCTGCTCAACTTACCCATGGTCGTGTGGCTATTCTATGAGCTGCACCGGCAACGTCGCGATAGCCTCGGCGTCTACGATCCCGTGGATATACACAGTCGCGGCCTGCTGAAGGTGCATTTAAGGAATTGCATGATTTATCTGGGCTTCTACTTTGTCATGTTCTTTGTAGGCCTCTATTGGTAAGTGTGTGATCTGTGTTTATATATATTCTCTTAGTTGTTATATGTGCTCCGTTTTTCGCAGCTTAATTTCATCGTTGATCAAGGGTGATCCCATCAAGCGCCACGAGGATGATGAAATTATCACGGGTTTCTAAAGCCTGTCAACTCAACGACGCAAGTGCTTCCAGAAAGAAAGACAAAACAGCGCACATGCGAAATATATATATATGTAACCTAGTCGCACAAAGCACAGTAATCCAAATTTCAAGACTTATAAGTGTCGTTCGCTCATTATCTCATTATCATTTTTCTATTTATTTCATAACTAGCATCTTCAGCCATTTAAGCGTATTCGAATAATATACATCACAAGTTAAATATATGTACAAAAACCAAGTTTTGCTGATCCCAACTTACTGCAGAAAATCGACAACCTCCTCCAGTTCACGTTGTCGTGCCTGTTTTTGTGCCCAACGCGCCTCGGCCGTCTTCACATTCACCACCCAACGGTCATGGGCCAGCTTTATGCCACAGACGGCGCCATCCAGTTTCTTCTTACTGCCACTCGCTGCAGACGTGGCTGCTGCAGTGGCTCCCTTGCCCATGTAGGTTTGTGCATCGGAACGCGGATGCCGACGCTTGGCCGGGCACAGTTTGCCGCCTTTGGGAAACGGTGGTTCGGACAGATACAGCTTCAGACAGCCCTGATGAAAGAGATGGCCGCAGTAGACACGCTCGACAAACGCATCCGCATGCTCGTCCAGCACCATAGACTCTGGCTGTGCCTGCAGCACAGTATTATTACAAATCGGACACAATTCCTGATGAAAATCCCGTGTAGCCTCCAGGCAAAACTTAAGCGTACGATAGAGACTACGCACGGGACGAAAGTGCGCCAGCTCCTCCTTGCTGAGACGCAGCGGTGGCTCAACGCATTGGCGTGCTATCTCCCGGGACTGTCCGTTCAGATAACGCACTAGGACAGTGGGCAGATTTGACTCCTGGCCACGTAGCTCCACGCACTGGTTGGGATAGGAGTCAGGAACAGCGGCTGTCACGCGATAGACGTAACGGCCGCCACGGGCAATTAATTCGACGCAACTTGTGCGCTGTCGCAGCTTTAGCTGGCTGGCAACATGTTGTGTGTTCACTTCGCTTTTTAGATCCATGCGCAGCTGCTTGATCTCGTCCAGGCACACGCACAGCGGATTGTCCAACAAGTATTGCTGGGCAAAGCCCAATACAAGCAAAGCTTGCGCCGTTCCCAAATGCTCCCT